GTTTCAGAACTTTGGGAAATGAGTGCTCATACTAAAAGGAAGAAAAAAGTTGATGTATGTATGAAAAAGTTGAAGGTATGTTCGAAAATGCACATTTACCCAGCTATCCGCCATTTTGTTTTTTATACAAACATATTTTTATCTTTGAAGTTTTTTTATTTGATGATTATGAAAGCTTGTAACCATGTTAACATACAAAAGACCTATTATAGAAAAAAATAATAAAGTTTTTCCGATTGTAAAGCTTGAAATGGAAGCCGTTTGAATATTATAACTTAAATAACTCAAAAACGGCTAATATTCTATGAAAAGATGTCAAGAATACTTTAATTTAGCATTTAATTTAATTTCCTATCAAACAATACCAAGATCAAAAAGATCGGACGACAAATAACTGAAATAGAACGTTTGTTAGCTGTAAGACCAGGCAAAATTGAGGGTTCCCCGACTAACTTTGCCTTATTTTTACACAAAAAACTTTATATTCCAGTTTTCTTTTGTTCGATCTTTTTGATCTTGGTATTGTTTGATAAGAAATCAAAAATGCTAAAAAAGAGTATTCTTTAAATTTTGTTTAGATAATTAGCCGTTATTGAGTTATTTAAGTTAGAAAGGTTGAAAAGGCCACCATTTTAAAATTTACAATCGAAACAACTTTATAATTTTTATAAAATAGGTCTTCTGTATGTTAACATGGTTACTAAATTTCATTATCATCGAATGAAAAACTTCACAGATAAAAATATTTTTGTATACAAAACAATATGGCTGATAACTGGGTGAAAATGCATTTTAAGACATACCTTCAGATACACTTTTTAAACGTGTAAACCTACATTTATTCGAACGAGCTAGCGAATCAGCATGATCGAACTACGGAAACTGGGGTTTATGGGGGTAAAAAGTAGTTTTTCCTATTAACAAATAAAAAAAATCATTTTAGCAATTTCTTTCCAAACCATTTTGTAGAGCTTAAAAGAACAAATAATTTAGTACATTGAAGCGTTATTATGTGCCTAATGGTTACGGAGAAAATTCCAAAATATTATGAATTTAAAATTCCCACGTTATTCTTATGGAGAATAAGTAAACTGTTGTAGTTTGCTTGTTTATGAACATGTTTTGACCAAATTTGGAAAATGCATTTATTTCTTACTAAACTATTAAAATAAAAATAAAAATTGTATCCTTCCTGTTGCAGCAAACCTAAGTACTCGTCACACTAATTCTATTTAAATAGGGAATAAATTTCATATTTTTAAGGAAACATTTTAGTGTAAATCCAATCAGGCAAATGGGAAATCGCTTAGTCTGCAGGTTTGCTGCAGCAGGGGTATTTTACTATATGTCCAAAAAATTTCTGTCAGACAAAAAAAATAATAAAAGAACAGGTATGAAAGAATGAGAGAAAAGAAAAATTTATGGTCTTGTGATCGGTGGTTGGAACATTATCACCCTAGGAATAAATTACAATAAGAAATTTCGCCGACTAATTCTTAATCTATTTCTTTGAGAGCAGAAACAGTTGATTTGGGTACAGCTCTCATTATGTCTACAAAGGACTTTTTTGAAAAATATCTGACAGTATTGGTAGTTGCTAGAAAAACAATACTATTGTCAAGGGCTAAGTACAACAGAATATTAACTCTAACTATAATAATGATTTTAGTTAATCTTACTTTTACATTTATTTAATTTTTTTAGCAGAATGTTGAATGGAATGATGACGTTAACATGATGTGGAAAGAAACATAAACAACACACACACACACACCCGCCAATATAGAGTCTATACCAATACGTCTTTACTTGTGTTTTGCGTTATGCAAAATATATATTTTGTGTTATGCCAAATTTAAAATTTAAATCAAATACTAAAAAATATGGAATTGAGAAACCTGGAATTGTAAATTTCCATCATAGGTATGAACATAATGGTTTCCTCTATAGGTAATTCCGATTTACTACATTGATGATAAAATAGTATAACACTCTTAAGCAAACCTACCAAGTATTATCTCTGAATTCCGTGGAAGTACATTGAAATATATTCTTGAGGATAGTAAAAATTTAGTTTGAAAAGACAGTAATTTAAAAGTTATCAAACTTTAAAATACCGCCTCATAAAACTTTGTGAACACACTATAACGCTGTTGCTCCCAGATATACTTTTATTGTTTAACTTTTGATTTAAACCCTACTTTTCAGCAATTTATCTTTCAAAGATGGCAGTTTTTGAAAGTTTGTTTCACAATTATCTTACAGTAATATATCAATTCTCGGGTACAAATATTACATCTACTTAAATTTTAATTTTTCATTGCAGGGGTCTATTGGAGTCATGAACAACGGAACACTGTTTCTAAACGTTTACATAAAACAACAAACATAGGCTACTAAAAATATTGTTTTTCACGAAGATTAGGATGCTAAATAACCAGTTTTACCACTACCACGTAATGACCCAAGCTACCCTAAAAATGTTTACTAAAGCATCATGTTGACTTTAAAGCAATAGCCTTGAGTTTATATTCCGTATTCCACCCAAGTATATAAACCGTTTATTTGTTGGAGATTTTATTATCTTTATAACACCACAAACTTATTGATTAGGGAACCTATTTTATTCTTACCCTAATTCCACTTGGTTTAAGTGTTATTTGAAAAATATAGTATCGTATTATTTTTAAAGTTATTTGTATCGGATTTATCATTGATTTCTTAACCAATGTCCAATGTGTTATTTGTCGACATATCTACTCAATATTTCCACAAAGCTGTAGTTAGATTTAATAGCAAACTATCATCAAAATAGTAAAAATACCATGTTATTATCGTTTGGTGTCAGTTATTCAGATGAAAAGGTCTTTGGCAAATACTATATATGACTATAGGATGAATAGTAACATACTAATATTCCAGAGGAAAATAACAAATGCATCAATTGAATGATTTCTAATTCAATTGAACGTATTTGCTGTCAAAACAGAAAGACTGGTTTAAATATGGAATACCAATTTATTTATCAGGAATAAATATTCCATGAATAACATGTTTGACTTTTCTATATATCACATTCATACAATTCCAAGTGAAACGTGTAAATAAATCTCGTTCGACAGCATTTGACTCTGAGCGCATATTTATCAGCTGAGATACAATATTCACGGAGGAGCCTGCGCCTGACGGCCGTTTAGAGGAAGCCGTTTTTCACCCAAAGCTGGCTCCTGTGTTTATTATTGCATCGCATAAAACATGGGTTTATTGGAATTTTTATTCTGTTAATGCTGTGATATACGGTAAAATAAGCGGGTTTCCACAGTTTCTGCTTTTAACAGATTTGCGTTGGTTTTAGCAAATTTCCCATATGGGTTATTGTAGTAGGTCTCATGGTAAGACTTAGGACCCAGGGCCATTTTACTTCCCTTTTTTTATACATAGATTTATCTATATGTTTTATTTATATATGTGTGTGTCCTGAACGCAATAAATTGAATAACTTTTATCCGATTTTGAAAAAATTTGGTTTGAAGGTGTAGGGCGGAATAAACGTGAAGGAGTTCACGAACCAGCATGATCGAACCACGAGAAGGGGGTTTTACGGGGGTTTTATGGTGTAAAAAAGGGTTTATTTAATTTTAGACCCTCAGAACCCAAAATTTCCCAATTTCTCTTTCGACAATTTTAAAGAACCTAAGCAAATAATATAGTATATTAAGGTGTTTTTGTTCAGTTATTGGTTAGGAAAAAGAAAAAAAAATACTACCTATGTTATTCTTATGGCGAATATTGTAAACTGTTGTAATTTATTTGCTTCTTTATGGATATATTTTGATCAAACTTGACAAATTGTTTATTTAATTAATAATAACTAAGCTATTAATGTTACCTAAAACACACTTTATTAGCCTCCCTGAAGCGGCAAACCTAGGGACACTCGTTACACCTAATGTTATTTAAATATATTTAATTTAAAATCAAATCAGGCAAAAGGAAATTCGCTTTAGTCTGCAGGTTTGCTGTGGCAGGAGTAATTCACTACCATACTGATGATGTACGTAATTATATTAACATAGGTACGTACACAACACTAGCTCGTTTATTCTTGTTTTGTTATAGATCACTTTATATTGATCTAGTAACATATGCTCGTATTATTGTGAAGATACAGTTATGTCCAACAATAACAGCCGGGGAGTCAAGTTGCATGTTTGCAAACAATTTATTACGGTCAACGTTGTGGAGGAGATCTTCCTCACGAACTCATTCTGATTATAGTTAAAATATACTTAAAATATAGTTAAATATAAATATAAATAATAATATAGTTAATATAAATATAGTTAAAATATATCTAAATATACTTTATTTCCTATTTCTTTATATAAATACTCTTAAGCCTTGCACGACAGTAAACATATTCGTCTAAAAGTCTACAAATTATTCTCAATAATATCATCAGCGAAATAAGGTTATATAATAATGAAGGTTTTGTTCAGTAAATTTAAAAGACTAAATTTGAGTGCTCCTTTTTATTTTGCGAAACTCGAGTGAAGGCTTTTACAGTATCTGATTCTATATATGATTAATATTGAAACAAGTTTTAAACCAAACAACTTTATTTAATGGATTTTTAATTTAAAATCTAACATGTTCCATAAACGGAATTCACTGTTTTATCACACTCATTTCTGCAAGATCTCAATGGTAATAGTTAAAGCTTTTATAAAGTTTTATGGACTTAGATGGATATAAGTTAATTACAAGTCATAAGAAGTTGGAGAGTGTAATCGCATATTCAACGTCAAGAGTGCTAAGGTTGTTTGGCAAGGAGATATGTCAGTAGAAAGTTAGGCTTATGTGACACAAGTGACATTCAGCCAAGATAACAAGTTGGTTCCGTAGATAAGGAGTCAACCTGTGGCTAAGGGGTGGAGGCTGGAGAGGGTGGCAGGGTGAGTCTGTTCAACTCCCCGACAGTTAGTCAGTGAGTGGCCGTGCACTATGTAGCATGTGGTACTTACTTCCCCTCCTGTGCGCTCGTAAGTATCACGCTGCTTTCTGTTAGGATTAGTGACACAGTTACAGGTTAAAGCTATATTACTTAATATAGCGTAATCCTGGTAATATTCTACCTCCTTTTGGGTTATCACTATATTTTATGAGGAAACGATAAACAAATTAATTACATTAAAATAATACAGAGTATGAGTAGGACTCTAGTTGAAAATGAGCATTTTATCTAGAGTTTGATAATGTTCTTAAAAATTTAAAATCCTACAGATTTGCTAATTACTATACAAAGGAGACACGCTCTGTTCAGATTCATAACGATGCAATTTTTAGTTACGACACTGAGATACACTGCACCTCAAAGCTGTGTTATTGCGTAAAACAACACAGCATCAAATTCTAACCTTCAAGAAATCTTCATTGACCGTGGTGGGGAAACGATAAAAAATTAATTACATTCAAAAGTGCTATGCTTTATGAATAAGCAAATTTCTACAGTTTAGAATGTAAATGACCTGTAAGTTTTACTGAGATTCTTAAAAGGTGAAATTATTCTACATAAGGAGATACCCTCTACACACATCCTTGGTTCCACCAAGGGCAATTACAATTTTTAATATCAAGAACGTATAAGTTAAGATTTCTTCAACTTTTAAATTGCCAAACTAAATTATTTCTTTTGAATTATATCCACTAAATCGCTACTACTAAAACATTTCGTGGCCAGGAACCATGTAGCCGCTGGCTAACGGGTATTATTATACAAGCACATGCACATGATATGTCCTTATGTGTCTAATTCTTGTTTGTAGTTTAAAACTATGACCAGGGATAAGGTATCTGGCACAGACACAATACAGACAGTAGTTTGAGATGAGTCTTGCATAACTTTGATCTAACAGACGTATCTGTGTTAGTGACAGCTACACTAGTAGTAAGATATCTACGTTTATCAATAGCAAACTTCTGTTATTCTTAGTGCATTCCAAGACGATTTCACATAATTAATTATTAAAAACACAGAACTGTTAAGATATAAATGTCAAGTTATCAGATAATACAAAATTACCAACTATATTTTTCCTTTTTAACAAAGGTTTCATTGTGTTATGAATTTTTTTGTAAAAGTATTATTAGATTATGCCAAATTGTAATGGCTCTCCACAAGTATGCATATTTTTTCATTCATCAAAATCATTATTTACCATAGCTTCAATTTTGTGATTATGTCCATTAAAACGATAAACAACAAACGTAAAAAATATAAAGCCATATTGCATTTTAGGTAATAGTAATTGTCTTTATAATATAACAGAATCCTTATATATAATACGTGAAGGCGATTTCTACAAAACACTACTCCTCCGTTAATAATAGACGGATTTTTACAAACGACGTGTCAAAAAAAAGTATTTTTTGTGTAGACGCCCCCTTTCACCAATTCCTGTAATAAAAATCCTCGGGCTTTGCCCCACAGGCCATCAAAGTTGGATTTTCTCCCATAAGATTAACATGGGGGAATTGAAATATTGAATTGGAAACTTTGTCCCCACTAATTTGAGAGATCGGCTGGGCGTAGGAACTTGGTAGGGGTGTCCAAAGAAATGTCTTGGTCTGTAGATGAGTTATCAAAAGAAAAACTAAGCAAAATCACTTAGGGCTCTGCCCCAGAAGCCTTTAAAGATCCCTCCACAGAGTTGTTTACATTTTGGCCATGTGAATAATACTTTTTAACAAAACAGCTGTGCCTTTTTAAATTGTATCTCAAACAACACATATTTATTGGGAGTTACTGAATTCTACCAAATACGTATTTGCAATGTTATTTTCTGATTTTAAAATTGATTTTCCTCTTTATCATGCCATGTCATGTTTTGCATTATAACGTTCCATTACGAAATCAGTGGAAAATCCTTATTTCACATCAATTCTTAAATTGTTTCTTATTGAACTATCTTATATATATTGTACGGGTTGGTGTCTGCCTTTTTCACCACTTATGCCTACATTTTATCATATTATTCTACACATATCAAATATTTATGTAGAAATATCTGCTCTTATCGTGTCTAATAACATCCAAACATAGACACCTTGCCTAAAATGGTACCCATCTTGACAAATGTTTTGCACCTGCCAACTGCCTATATTTAGGACTTTGGCGCACTGGGTTGGTAACATTATTGAAAATAGCACTACATTTGAGCTGTAAAATATGGTACAAAGAGAAAATACGATTTAAGCAGCTACTGTCATGACAGAAAGGTCATATTCCTTTTAAACTAGATCACATAATCCTTTATAAGATACGTTGATTAACATTATGTAAACGTCAATATATACGTAACAGCCAATTTACAGTATTTTTGCTTTTGGAAATGTCCCATTGCTATGTCATTTGCATTATTGGTTGCCAATGAAGCCGCCAACTTCACTTCAAGTATTCCACTACACCTAACATTCCGTAGAGAGATTATTTTGACAACTTTATGTTATTGATAAGGCTGAGACCCCATGTCAAGGAATTCCAGCTTTAACAGTAACCCCACAGTCAATTTCTCAAAACTATGCTAGAGGGTTCATTCATTGGCACAGAAGTACGATATGAACTGACGCCACGTGACGAAGGAAAAATCAAGCTTACACTGTAACGGATATACCTCTCTTTGAAGTTAGAATATGTCTTCCCAAAAAATATTTTCGTTTCAAATAAAATCATATTACACTGATGAAATCACAGAAGTGTTTAACTACAAAAGACCCACCAATACGATTTAATATTATTTAAATGTTCTTCCAAAGGATAAGGAAGAGATGTCATATAACATACTAATAATAACTCCGATGACGTACGGTATGGGAAATATTTTAATCATTGAATGATCAACCAGAGTCGGAAACTACCGCAATTAATAGCATTATTGTTTTTACACTTATTACTCTTTAAAGAATGCTAAATGCTTAAAATATGTATATTTCACCAAATTTAACGCAGTTAGACGAATTAACGTTAACGTAAGCCTTGAAAGTAACCGTCGATTTCGACGGGTTTCCCCTAGTATAATATAATATAATATAGTATGGTATAATATTATATCATTATGATTATAATATAATAGTAAGGTATTTTTAATGTTCTATGCGTATTTGAAATAAGTATAAGCTATAAAATTCGATTGTTTAAAAACAGTAAATAAATTCAAATTCTTTATAATTTGTCTATAAGTTTTACATTGTTTCGAATCATTATGTACTGTTGTTTTTTAAAGGTTGAAATACCTGTTACTGCCTTGTGATTCTGCTGCTTCTCTGTGAATACCAAATTATCAGGTCAAAACTTGAAGACATTTAAGCCATTGTTGAATTGGTCGTGTCAATGTTTACGAATATTAAACACACAAAACATTAAAAACTCATTATGTACTGGTATGTTTCCTGTACTGATTTAGGAGAAGTGAACGAGCAGTCAATCAAAACCCGACTAAATGTCAATTTCTTAAAACAAATTAGAATAAATCAGGGAAACCTACTATTAATGACGGAAGTTTTAAGACGGTGACACACTATCGATCTTTTCCCCGAACAAGACCCCGAACCGAGCAGGGAGGAGGGAGAAGGGAGGTCGAAGGGAGCATGTTCGATAGTGTGTCACGGGTCCGTACACCGATCCAGACGGCGAACCAGACATCAGGCCGAGCAGGGAGACGAGCGCTCTGGAGGCGGTTTTTTGGCGAAAGATCAAAGAAAAGATCGGTCCGATGTACGGAGTGATGTACGATAGTGTGTCACGGTATATTTTTGCCCCGTACATCATCGCGAGCGCCGCACCGAGCGGCCGCCTGCGCTAGCGTTGATAGTTCTAATTTAATATGGCAATTAAACTCTTTAATTCCAAAAATAAATAAATGTTGGGTAATATTTTGCCGTTAGATATTATGGACATTTATGTTGTAATTTTGTTGTGTGTTTGGTCAAGGTTAAAAATGTATTTTACAAGTTGAAACCGTTAAATCAATGATACCAATGATGTTTGACTTGAATTATGTAATTGATGTTATACTTTAATTCTTTCAAAATTAATATAAACATTAAAATTGTTAAAGGCAATCAAAACTATCATTCTGTAATTTCTGTTATTCTAATAATAATAATTAACAGATAATAGTAATAATAATTAAATCTAATAATTAATAGTAATTCTGTTATTTCATGTTTTATTACTGTTTTATTATTACCGCCTACGCGCTCTCACTCACACACGCTCTCCATCTCTCTCTAATCTCCCTTTTACCGCACTCGGTAGAACTTGTCTGGTCTTAGTCTTGTTCGGGGAAATGTTCGGATTGAAAATTTGCAGATTTTTACCTCCCTTCTCCCTTCTCCCTGCTCGGTTCGGCGTCTTGTTCGGGGAAAAAATCGATAGTGTGTCACCGCCTTTAAATGAGAGTACATGTGCACACTAAAATGTTCACAATAATGAGTTGAATCCATGCGCTTCTGCTAAGTATTACTTTTTTGTTTAGTTTTCATACACTACGCGAACTCGATTAACATATTATGAATGCAACATAAATACAGCTGACGGTTATTTGCTTTAAATGTTGGAATAATACATAATGTACAGTGACTATATGTTAATTGTTATAACCTTATAATCATTGTATAAATACAGTTTTGCAGTGTCCGCTAAGCAAGTTTCATATTATTTAACAAAAGTTTGTACGACTAAAACGAATTACTTGTCATAAAAATATTAGTAATCTTTTAAAATTTAACGTTACGTCCAAACAACTGAGGTGTTTTCATTGAAAGAACTATTAAACCCCCTGGTCTTTTTAACTTACTCAATCTTAAACAAATTTTGCTATGTATGCATTTATTTTTGAATCTGATGGATAAGCTTTTTTGTTTGAAGAGGTTAGTTCGGTGCTTTAATGCAAATTTTCAATTACGAATGTAAATATAATTCTCAAAAGAAATTTGAGTATTTCTTTTAAAACATCAGGTAGTGTTAAAGAACCACTCATTC